AACCACTACGCTACCAGAGCTCCTTAGGCAACTGTTAGGGGGACTCAAAATTCAATAATTCTAGGAGATTTTCCCCATTGTAACATAAATTCATATTAAGTAATGTTATAAATATCCAAATGGCCCTTGGCAGAGAAAAGATTCCTTATCCCTGTTAGATAGTCAATACTTTTGTTACTTCACAAGGAAAACATAAAGAGTTGTACTAGGGGCTTTACTAATCTGTGATGATGTGATGAGAGATGCATTTAATCTCTAGCCAACCTAGTTGAAAGATTCTAGCCTGCATTCTAATTCCACTTAAAGCAATCAGAAGGATACTTCCCAGAAGCCCACTACCTTATCTGCTCACCTATCAGCAATTCTTCTGCCTTTTCTCCTATAGGTTAATTCTGCCACTGGTGCCCTATCACATCTCACAATGTCCCCTCAAATACAAATTTACGCAACTCTTCCTCCGTTCTCCTAAACCATCCATTTTTCACATTTTACTATTTCTACTCCTGGACTTCCAGTTTGTCATACACTGGTGACTTGCATGTTGCTGTGGTACTGGAAACTCTATCTGAAATCCCAGTAACATCATCTATGGCAAACAGGTCATTGGAATTTCCAAACTATGATAGACTACAAAGAAAAGCCTGGTCATCTACTTCTGCAAAGCAGCCAATGAAAACCCATAGATCAGAACAAAACAGTGTTCAGTACAGTGTTAAAATAAGAGCCCCCTAGGTTGAAAGGCATTACAATACCTCAGCAGTGGACTCAAATATGCCAGATAGCATGAAGACAGCACAGGGCCTAAAAAATGTTTCTTTCTGTTATAAATAGGAACACTATGAGTTGTAACAAACTCAAAGGCAGCTAACAACAACTATTTACCAACAGCAGATAAATATCTCTATTTCTCTTATCTTAAGTTAACAAAGTAAACTGATTTCACTTCCTCAAAGGGAGTACTCCTGGGTTTGTTCTCCTTTCCAGCAAAACTCCTCAAAATAGCTGATTGTGATCACTGTCTCCAATTCCCCTCCATCTAGTCTCTTTAATCAGATCAAGCTTTCCTGCCCCTTCCTTCTACTAATACTACTCTTATAAAATCAAAACTGATCCCCACACTGCTAAATTTCATGATCAATTCTCACCTTTCACTTGTTTGTGGAGGTGGTGTTTTGTCTGTTTGTGAGGTTTCTTAAAAACTGTTTTTGGCATTTTGTTTTGCTTCATGTATCAGTGTTGTTGTTGTTCTTGTTGTTAAGTGCTGTGGAGTGGGTCCAGCTCATATCGACCTTTCAGTTAGAAAGGCATAGGGTTTCTGAGGTTCTACATCTTCACAATTGAAGGAATTGGCAAAGAACGAGGCACCAAGAATTAATGGAATAAAAATTGAAACCTTTCAAGAAAGTGAGGCAGCTCAGGAGGCACTCTCTCATATCTGCCAAGAAATTTGGAAGACAACTATCTGGCCAACTGATTGGAAGAGATCCATATTTGTGCCCATTCCAAATAGAGGTCACCCAATGAAATGTGGAAATCATTGGACAATCTCTTTGGTATCTCAAGTGAGTAAAGTTTTGTTAATGGTAATACAGAAACAGCTACAATCATACATTGACAGAAAAACTTCCACAGGTTCAAGTCAGATTCAAAAGAGGCCACAGAACAAGGGATATCATAGCTGATGTGCGATGGATCTTGGCTGAAAACAGAAAATATCAGAATGATGTTTACCTGTGCTATATTGACTACGCAAAGGCTTTCGATAGTGTGGATCATGACAAGTTAAGGACAACATTGCGAAGTATGATTATTCTGGACATTTAATTGTGCTCAATAGGAATCTGTACATGGACCAAGAAACAGTTGTTTGAACAGAACATGGGAACACTGAATGGTTTAAAATTAAGAAAGGTGTGTGAGAAGGTTGTATTTTTCACCATTCTTATTCAAGCTGTATGCTGAGCAAATCATCTTAGAAGCTGGATTCTATGAAGAAAAACATGGTATCAGGATTGGAGGAAGACTCATTAACAACCTGCAATATGTAGATGATATAACCTTGCTTGCTGAAGTAAAGAGGACCTAAAATATTTACTGATGAAGATCAAAAAGCATAGCTTTCGGTATGAATTACATCTCAATGTAAAGAAAACAAAAATCCTCACCACTGGACCAATAAACAACATTCTTATCAATGGAGAAAAGATTGAAGTTGTCAAGGACTTCATTCTTCTTGGATCAACTATCAACACTCATGGAAGCAGCAGTCAAGAAATCAAATGACGTATTGCATTAGGCACATCTGCTGCACAAGACCTTTTTAAAGTGTTTAAGAGCAAAGATGTCAGCTTGAGGACTAAGGTGCGTCTGACCCAAGCCATGGTATTTTCAATAATCTCATATGCATGCGAATGCTGGACAGTGAATAAGGAAGACTTTAGAAGAATTGATGCTTTTGAGTTATGGTGTTGGAGGAGAATATTGAAAGTGCCATGGGCTGCCCAAAGAACCAATAGATCCGTTTTGGAAGAAGTGCAGCCAGAATGCTCCTTGGAGGCCAAGATGACCAAAGTTCATCTCTCATACTTCAGACATATTGTCAGGAGGGACCAGTCGCTGGAGAAGAATATCATGTTTGGTAAGTTGGAGGGTTAGAGAAAAGAGGAAGACCCCAGCGAGATGGATTGGCCAAGTAGCAGCATCAATGGACTCAAGCGTGGCAACAGTAGTAAGGTTGGCCCAGGATTGGGCAGTGTTTCATTCTGCTGTGCATAAGGTTGCTATGAGTCGGTACCGACTCGATGGCAACTAACAACAACAACAACCAACTTCTTCACGGCGCTCTGGTAGCGTAATGGTTACGAGTCAGGCTGCCAACCTCAAAGTCAGGAGGTCGAAATTACCAACAGTCCCGTGGGAGAAAGATGAGGCTTTCGGCTCCCCTATAAAGGCTTATAGCCTCAGAAACCCTATGCGGGCCGAACCAACTCCACCGCACACCACCGCCTCATATTACTAAGTTAAGATGTACAAAAACTAAAAGGACCATTGTAAGTCTGGTTAGTTGTAAATTGAATACATCGTAAATTGGGGAATAACTGTACTCAGGATTTATAGTTTATAAGTCTTGTTGATCTTAATAGTAACTTTGAAAATTGGCATTATCAAGAAACATTCCAAAAGTAAAACTATGAGAGAGAATACTAGGAAGGAAGGTAACCAGGTGGGAGTAGATTTATACTAAAAAGTTAAACTGAGAATACTACTTCTTTGCTTTGAGGAAAATCAGAACCCGCCCCAATGCCTCACCTGGGAACCTACCATCTTTCTGACTCTCCTAGAGTAGCCCCTAAAGAGGACTGTTGTGGTCAGGTAACAATCACACACAGGTACCATCATTCTTTTAGCCACAGTCTCTGCACCAGGGTCTCAGATTTGCTAGAGAAGAATCTTGTTTTCCAAGGTCTGGACATGAGTACTTTTTGCCTATTGACTTAAGTGAGGCTGTGTCTCTATCTCTTCAAATTTAGGATGCAAAGACTTACAACGTGAAGATTTCAAATTATAGCTCTTTTGTCATTTCCCATTATTTTATGTTTCTCCTTTGGATTTCTGTGGTACTAGATTAAAGACATTAATTCTAATTTGAGTGTCGTTTGGGAATATCGCATTTCCTCTGCCTGCTCCTTCTGCCTAAAATGTGTTCTGACAGTTTTTAAGACAGAACAGGAAGAACGTTTACTGAAGAAATTGATCTTCCATTAACTAATTCATACACATTTTGTTTCTTTACCTTGACTACCATCCTCACAATGTAGGAGCACTTGTCCCACTTTCTCCTGATACTAACCATTTCCCTTCATCTTGTTTCCTACCCCATCATTCATTCTGAGTTCATCCCTTCGCAAGTGCTGCACATTTGTTCTCCTGTAGTTGACTGTTCTACATATACATACTCCCATGGTGTATATACCTGTTAGTTCATCTGTTTGGCTAAAAGTTGAGCCAGTCATGTGATTTCAACTCCAATGCCAAAGGGTGTCAAAGGGATTCCACTAGTCTCTCTATTAGAACAGTAATCCTGGTCTTTTATTTATTATTTTGAGTTTTGTTCTACATGTTTCTTCCCTTCTATCTAAGACCTCCGAATGTGATCCCTTACAGAGCAATCAGTAGTGGTAACTGGCTACCTCCTAGTTCTTCTGGTCTTCTGGACCTAGATCTGTGGCTACTGTCTAAGACTGATGATAAACCACCCAATTCCTAACTCCACACACTAGCCTATATCTTCCACAGGAAAAACTTCTAGCTACCAGACCATGGGTACTGAGTTTATGCCATTTATTAGAAATTAACCCAGCTTCTTGACCATGTTTGCCATTCTTTTACTAAAAAATTCCCTGGCTCTGCTCATTCAGGGACAAATACTAACAGGGGATCTCAGGGTAAAGATTCTGGCATTTCTAGTGTCTTGTTCCTAGACCCTGTTCAGAATGCTATAAATCACAAGGTTAGTATTGATGGGACCTTTATACCAGCTTTCACTCACTAGATTATTCAGTGAAATTTGACTTCCTGTTCTTCTAACCTACTGACCTCTGATCATTTTGTCTCTGAAGGAAACCACAGCCAGCTGCTGCCCAGGTGCAATGACGTCATGTTTGACCAAACAGTCTCTGGAGACTCAGAGCCGCCAACTGCTCAGGGGAGGGTTCCCACAAGAAGAACTGGCCTCTCTAATGTCTGTGTAAATGTCCCTATTGACATGAATCTCTCTCCGCAGAGAGCAGACAAATCCGCCTGGTGAATGGGGACAGTCACTGTGCCGGGAGAGTGGAGATCTTTTACCAGGGACAATGGGGTACCATCTGTGATGACAGCTGGGACATGCAGGATGCCCACGTGGTGTGCAGACAGCTGGGCTGTGGATGGGCTCTCAATTTCTTGAGAGAAGCTCACTATGGTGAAGGATCCGGCCCTATCTGGCTGGATGATGTGGAATGCACAGGAAAGGAGACCCACGTGTGGACGTGCCCATCTCCAGGCTGGGGGCAGAACAACTGTGCTCACTATGAAGATGTGGGAGTCATCTGCTCAGGTATGGTTACTGTATGGTCCAATGACTGGTAGAATGGAAATCTCCAGAGAAGCAGGTATCTGAACTATTGAGAATATTGTTGTTGTTAAGTGCCATCAAGTCAGTTCCAACCCATAGCGATCCTGTATACGGTTTCTGAGGACAAGCTAGTGAGCTTGAACCGCCAACCTTGCAGTTCAAACTGACTTTGCAGTCCAGCACATTAACCCACAGAGTCACACCAGGATTCTAGTAAACTGATTAACCAGAGTGTCTGAGACTTATGCCCATTGTCCCTACTGACTCTAAGCATCTGTGAATGACAAATTTCATTAATTTCTCACTTTAAGACTCAGCTGCTTGTCTTTCCTTCTACAGTTGCCTTATCTAACAAGAAAGTATGTTCTACCATCATCCTAATTAAACTCAAGTTTTATAACTTTGTGTTTTTTATAACTTACTTTATATGAGAGTGATCATTTTCAAAGCACCACACTCACATCCTTAAGTGACAATGAGCCTGTAAGGGAGAAGGATAAGAGTAAGGATGTGCTTTCCTCCCATAGCTGAGGACCCAGGTGAAATGAATGTTTCCATATGAGTAAAGTGAGGCATGATTTGCACTTAGTAAGGAGCAGTAGGAGCATAGGATATTACATTTAATATTTCAGACAAGAGTCAAACCTAAGAGATGGTAGCTCCTTAGCTGCCAGGACCAGAGAGGGTGGGTAAAATGTTCTGAGACATTATGTCCTCCTTCTTCCACTGTTACTAACAAAAATTCTCTAGCCCTTTATTTTTCTCAACAACATCCACATGACCTCAAAGTTTGGGGGATACTCACCCAAGTGCTTACTGATCAATGTTAAATGCATTAAATATGAATTGGTATATCATGAGATACTGAGTCAGTGATATGAAAAATGTATTTGGCAGTTTTTGTTAGAATGCAAGCAAGAAGACATAAGAATTTTTGAAGAAGTTGGAAAGGCTTATACTAATGGGAATAGGAAGCAGTGGGATCTGACATAGGACACTAGGGTTCTCTGTGTACTGTAAAAACTTAGGTATGGGATGGAGAATGCCATGTGTGTATTTATGTGAATTCTGTACAGTTAGTTGTACTGAAGGAAAAAGTGTCAAGGTTGATGTGCAGAGGGGTGAGAATGTTGGGAGATATGATGTAACTTGACTTAGTCATTAGCCTAAGAACACATGGTAACTAATTAACAAAAGAATGGGCAAGGAGATGTGTGACACCCATTTTGACTTGGGTTTAATTTAAAAAAATGTATATTCCCTGACCTTACAGTATTCTGGTCTCTCAGAAACTTATCACTGGGTTGAAACTGTCTATTTAATTTTCTCCCTCACAGATATGAACGAAAGAACAGATGTCTGGATGCCTACCCCATTCTCTAACTCGTAAACTTGAACAAATGACTATGCTCCTCAAGTTCTATCTTCTCTGGTTTACTATGAGAACACAGTACAGGGGCATGTGTGTGTGTGCCATCGATTTGATTTGTACTCATACCAACCCTATATAGGATTTCCAAGGCTGTCATGTTAAAGTCTTATATTTCTCCCTGTGAGGACCTGGTGGTTTCAAACTGCTGACCTTGTGGTTAGCATCCAAACACATAACATACCCCCTAGAACAGGCAGTCTCAGACTTAAAGAGTTCCATTCCAGTGACTGTGTCATAAGTTAGTTTTCATTTAAGTTGACTATCATATTTTTCCATGATTGTTACAACAACCTGCTATGTTGTTGTTTTAGTGCCATTGAGTGGGTTCAGACTCATAGTAACCCTGTATAGGTGTTCAAAGAGCAGCTGGTGAGTTGGAACTGCCGACTCTGTGGTTCAAACAGACCTTGTGGTCCTGTGTTTATCCCACAGTGCCACACCAGGACTACAACCTGTTCTACAGTCATGTTTCTAACAGTAAATATTAGCATTGAATATGTCCTGAATGTCAGGGAATGATAACATCAGCAAATTGCAGGCTGCAAACTCACCAGCCACTCCTTGAAAACCTCTACAGAGTCAATATGAGTCTGAACCAACTCGACAGCACTTTTAAGAGGTACAAAAAATAAAGAGAGACAGTTGTACATGTGGCTTGTTGTAATTCAAATACATAATAAGTTGGGTCTATGAGTGCTCAAGACTTATAGCTTATAATCTTGTTGACCTTAACATTAACTGTGAAAGAGGCATTATTCAAGAAACATTACAGAAGTAAGACTTTGAGAGAGAATACTAGGAAGGAAGGTGGCAGGGAGGAATGGATTTATGCTAAAAAGGTAGTCAGAGTATCTTCTGTGCTTACAGGAAAATCAGAACCTGTTAAAAATACAAGGAACTGGACAGTAGCCACCCGTGTGGTAAATCCAGGCTTCATCCTGAGATGAGTCAGGCAGGGTTTCAGTGAAAAGGTTCACGTCAGTCAGGTCCCACCTTGCCCCTCATGTGTATAGAAACTTCACTGACGTTCAGATGAAAATACAGATGGAGCCAAACCACTGGGTGTTTTCTGTGGTGTGCCCAAATGCTGTTTTATCTCAGATGAAGTCATCTACACAGTTGTTGGATGCCGGGAGCCAGCCCCAGTAACTTATTCCAGGGTTTTTCCGAAAGCGGGTGCGGCGTCAGCGGATTACACGGAGTCATGGATCATGATAAATTCAAAATCTTCTCATTACATGCTTTATTATTATTATTTCTATGGCTACTCTAATACTCTATTCTCTCATTCTTTACTGTCCTGCTCATTCTTTACTCCCCTGATCTCCTGCTCACTTCTTCCGTTTCCTTTCTTCACTCCCCTGCTCTTGCTTCCATTCTCTCCTCTCCTGCTCCCCTCCTGCTTCCATTCTCTCCATTACTAGCTTCCCCTCCCTCCATTCTTGTCTCGT